AGAAAGAGAGAGAGAGAGAGAGAGAGAGAGAGAGAGAGAGAATATCTTGGAGGAATTTGGACTTGAAGCCATATTTCCTTCTAGAGCAAAGCTCCCCAGAATGGGCTCCTGAGGAATGGGACCCCCACCCCAGTCTTTATGTCATAGGGATTCCTTTTCCCATGTCTAGAAGAACATCAGAGATACAGACACCCATATTCAGCCAGAGGGCCTAAGAAGAGCTGTTCCCCTTCTGAGACCCTGCCTCTCCTCTTAGACTGATACCTCCCACTTGGGGGCTAGTGAATGAGGGAAAAAGTGGAGATGTTTTTCTGCCTGCAGCTGTCTCCCAAATTACTGACTGGAAGGAGGAGTGAGAGAGGAGTTCATTGAAATTCATTTTCGTGAATGTTTAATATTTCAATTAATATGATTAGGCCCAAGCCTGGATGAGCAGCAGGGCGGCAGATCTGCTGAGAAGACACAGAGTAATGAGATCAACCAGGCTATGGGGTCTTCCCTTCTCTATCCTTGGAGCGTGTGATCTGGTTAACATCTCCATAAATACAGAGATCAGATTAGAAAGCAAGAAAGGAGTGGTAGGGAAGGGGCAGAGAATGGAAAGTTCCTTTGGAGAATATGTTTGTACGTTCTGATTCTCTGATACTGCCAGTCTCATAGTCCAAATGCCTGTCATGAAGTCCACCACTTTTCTCTCTCACCATCTTAGGGGACCTATTGGGAGGACCTGAGCATTTACATGATGAAATACACTGAAGCACACACACACACACACACACACACACACACACACACACACCCCTGCCTGCCAGGATGTGGCTCCTGGCCACAGAAACCCAGGCTAAGGAAAGATGGTAGGTGGACAACAGAGAATCAAGCAACAAAAAGACTATGTCTGGCCCAGGTGCAAATGAAGCTAGAAGAGGAAGAAAAGCCAGGCTTAGCCACTGCCCCACTCCTAAGGGGAGTGTTTGATGTGGGAGTTAAGTGTGTGCATTCAGGAGTGTGCCCAGCTCCCATCTCGACAGACTTCTTTTTAGCTTCCTGGCCTTAGGCAAGTTATTAGCTCTGCACCTTGGTTTCTTCATCTCTACTTGGAGACAGTGACAGAAATCACCTCACAGGGCAGTGGCGCGGGTTTAATGAGTTAGAGAGAGTATAACCTTTGGAACAATGCCTGGGACACTGTAAGTGTCATATAAGTGCTAAATGTCACTATTATTTCACTTCTAGAAGAGGAGGCCACCTGCCCTGATAGCTGAGGATTGGAGGCTGTTGGGATTCAATGGGGATACATTTCAGAGACACCAATAACACTGAGGAGACATCAGCCCCACCCCAGGGTGAAGAAGGAAATGACAGACAGAGTATTCTACAAAGGCTGGAGTGCTGGTCTGTGAGCGCCCGGTGTGGGGCAGGGCTGCCGCTGCAGAGGAGTGAGGTCCGTGGCGCTCCCCGCGGCCCGCAGGTGTTCTCTGCGCTCGCTGGGAGCAGGCTTGGCGCCCTGTGCACGGCGGATCCAGCTCCTTCCAGATAGGGAGCTCACTGATCACGCAAGGAAGCAGGGTGCTTGCAGGAGTTGATGGCCCCCAGATGTGCTTCCTTGGCCATACCTTCCCGCTTCAATCAATTAGAGCAAGTCCCACCCAAAGAGCCCAAGTGGAAGGAGCAGCCAGCAAGGAATAATTGGGTTTCTCCACCCTAAAGGAGGCTGACAGCTGTGTGTCTCCCCACTGGAGGCATCAGGGATGTACTCCCGGCAGAGGTCTTTGAATGGAGTATTCATTAAGCACCTACTACACAGGAACAAACACGGCGCTCGTCACCGTGAGCAGTAAAAGGCTGAATTAAACGGCGTCCTGGTCTTC